GGGGTCTTAATTGCTCCCGATAAACTTTCTTTCCATTTAGGGCTCTCATATTCGGCAAAACTACCAATACACGGTCGCTTTTCTTGTCGGAGACTGTGGTACATGTTTGAAGTGGAGCTCCATACCCCCCCCCTCCTCGACGGTAACGTATTGGAGAAATACATAGCGAAAGCTCCCGTAGAAACTTCGAGGAGAGCGAGAGGGTCAAACATTTTCAAATTTCTACCAACGTGATGCTGTGCCCTGATCGCCTTGTACACATACCAAGATCGGATGCAAGCGAAATAAGCGGCTAGGGCGATTGCTCCGAGAATCACCATCGGTCCGAAGAATGAGAAGAAGATTACAGCCACCTGAAAAAAATCGTGTCAGGAAAGCCACAGTCATAGCTTTTTAGAGAGCGTCTGCAGTTATGCCGTGACGTGGCTACACTTCCTTTGCAATCTCTTATACCACATTACTTCTAGCAGAACTGGTTTCTTCGCTCCGTGGCCACTAACTTGGTACTTTTTTCCAAATCATTTGTCCAAACTGGTACCCACGAAAAAAAATTAAATAAGCAGCTTAATATTAGGATTCTCAGACTGATACAAGATGTGTGAAGATTCACAATAGTTCAACCTTCGTCATTATTTCGCTTCCCCTCACCGTATTATGAGGAGCAGTGCACTGCTTAGTGAGGTACTTTAGTTATGAATTTCCCTCATCCAACCGTACCGTACCTTCGTAGAGTTTACAAGGAACACAGCAGTTAAGCTGATTTTAGGCTCTCAGTGGCTTTTCCTTGATTGCTGGAGTCGAGACATGGTTTTTTGAAGATTACGAAAACAGTCGGGGTTTTTGGGCGCTATACGTCCCAGGTGGGACCACTTCCTAGCGGGGCTAATGCACGTGCCTTCTTCCCAAGGCATCAAGACTTGGTCAATGTTAGAACATGTCACCCTCTCTTCTAGGCAGCACCGACATGGCTTTCCTCTCGTCAGAAATGACCTGGCTTAGACTCTTCTAGAAAGTCGACCCTCCCGAGCACGCAGCGGCAATTTCTGTTCGCAAAACCTTGAAACAGAAGCGAAATCGCCAGTTTGCGTTCATGTTCCGATGAACGGGTTACCAAAAAAGTGTTTTCTCTATGAACGTGTTCTTCTCTCACCTTATGGAAGTCTCCCCAGTCGAATGCGTCAACTAGTGGAATATGCAAGGATGCTATGAGCAGCAGTCGTCCAAGCATGGCGTAGATTGAACTACCTAAAATAAGCACGACGTGAAGGTAAAATTTTATTCTGCCTTACTTCTTGCGCAGGAAGTCAAGAACTTCGACACAGAATGTGTTGAATGGAAACAAACAAGCAAACAAATACAAACAAGTGCTCAAGGATGGTGGGCAAAACTTTTGAAATCATCACGAAGAAAGCTCTGACCAAACTCTCGTAAGACCAACCCCATGTGAAATACGTCTGTGCGTGGAAGAAGATCAGAAGAGTTCGACTTTCCGAGGAACAAATCTAGTTCCTTCACATTGCCACCTTCTGCAATAAGCTTATAGACACAGTTCACGCAGACGAGATGGGCGGAGTCAGGCCTGTATAGGTACCCTTCCTATTTGCGTATACCTCTTTATCAAGCTGGGGTGACACGTCTGACTCCTCATGCACGAACAGGGTGGTACGTGCCTTTAGTTTCGATCCATGTTGAGTTTCCTCCTACAACATCAGTGCACTATTAAACTACAGACTTGTTCGCTGCAGTGCTGGGGAAGCTGGACCTGGTGCGACACCAGGCCTTTCTCCAGCAATTGTGGAAGCAGGTAGGCGACCGCAATTGATGGAAAACTGGCGAGTGCGCTATGCGGTATGCTGCCGAGGCGGCTTTTTACCCTCTCGGCCTCGGATAGCTTAGCCTTACAGCACTTACACCTTTAAGGTTGTGGGCTGGTTATCTGATATCGGCAGTGAACTAAGGGAATGAAGGCTTTTCACATGATGCGAGGATGTTTTTTTATGATAACTGATGACGCTGAAAGAGTTAGAGGCTGTCGTAGTGGTGCATCGGATAGCGGATATTTGTTCGGAAAGCATGAGGTGCGGGTTCGAGTCCAGCTAAGGTCAAGACTTTTGTCGGTTACTTTGCATTCTTGAAAAAGCTTCAACTGCGGCGTAAAAATCAGTTACACTATAAAATACTTCAACACGTTGACGACCGCGCGGGTTTTTACTTTTTCAGCCCCGTGGGATAAGCGCGCTTTCTCGAAAGCTACAAGTACGCTCAAGCATACACCTCACGCGGTCCTACGAAGCGCTTTTTTGGAGATTGGATCGGAAAACCTGGTTTAGAGAGCAATTATGAAGTAAGTCAATCATTCACTATGGAAAAAACTAGGCTGGCCAACTCTCGTTGCACTAGGTGCCAGAAATTTGTCTGTAACCAATGTTTTCATAAAAAACACAAGTCGTGCCTTCTACAGGACTCAGAATCCTTCACCTTATGTTTTTTATCATTATCAATATGGTATTTATCTGCATTTGTTAGTAAAGTGTTGGAGAGCAAACCAATCCAGAGTTGAGGAGCAAACCAATCCAAGCAAATGGTGTTCTTTCCCCAAGAACGCTTTGCTCAACTAGTATGTAATAAATTATTCCATGGACTACGCGTTGTACGAGTATACTCAGGACTGAACTATAGAATGAACAGGAGAAACTAAACAAAAAAACCATGCACTAGTGAAAGATATGGATTTGTTGATCGTGATTCGTATTCAATGCACGCGGTCCCACGTGGCCTACAAAGCGTGCATTCAATGCGTATCACGCGATCGTCAATGTGTTAAAAACCCTCGAATTCTACAAGTGAATGAACAGCCATGCAGTCATGATAAAAAGATGGTTAAACACCGTGGCTATCCAGCCAACTGGTCAAGACCAGCTTAGGGGATGCTGGCCGGAGTGACCAGTAGTGGTCAGTCGTATCGCCGTTGTCAAGGTATTTAAGCCGAAAATTACATCGTACTCTCAATACGCATAATGATCCGTGTTCACGCACTCGATAATTAACATTCCGGAACGGCAATATAACTTCGGATAAAGTAATTGTTTATTTTGCAACAAAGTACTGATCACTTCTAACCTGTTTTACGGGAAAAGTGTTTTCAGCCTCAATGTACTTTGAGTAAGTCTGCGGATTGAGCTCTTCTGCGAGAACTTACCTATGATGCTGGCCCAGAGGGCATTTTATACTTGATCAGAGAGATCCATCTTGACTGATTCGCCATCTAACAGATCATGCTGAACAGCGGCTAGCAAGGCTTGCACATAAATGATTCAGGTAACCTGTTCGTGGTTCTTTGAGTCGAAAATTCAACCCAAGGTCATGTCCATTATCAGTGGACTTGGGTTTCTTTGTTCTTGGGTTGATTTTCCCTGCACAATATTCATTTTCGAACATGTCCTAGACCTGACATAGTTATCCGGTTGAAA